TTCACAGAGTCTTTTCTCTGTTTATCCACATCCCTGGTGTGTCCCTCTGTTTATAAGGACTGTATCATATTATATTAGGTCGCACCATATGATATCACTTGATCATTATTACCTCCTTAATTAAATTCTTTCAGCTGAGCATGGTGGTAGCACGCACCTTTAATCCCAGCACTCTTCAGGCAAGCCTGATCTAAGGAGCAAGTTCCAGGAGAGCCAGAGCTACACAGAGAAACCCTGTGTAAAAAAAAAAAAAAAAAGCCCTCAATTTGAATATTTGAATACAGTCACATTCTGAGGTATACTGGTATCTAGAATTTCAATGTATGAATTTGTAAGGACACAATTTGTTCACAACATTTACTAATAAATCCATGTGGCTCTCTTATCTTCTCGAGGGCACACTTTTCCAGTTATTTTTCAGCAGTTTGGCTGATTAAATATTGACCCTTACTTTTTATGATCCATAGCCATTAAGTAGCTGTTCCAGCAAGATAGCCATTTTAGAGTGATACTGAAAAATAAAACTTAAAAACTTAGGTTAGCACCAAAGTGAAGACCTTCCCACAGAGAGTTAATAATCCAGCTGCTCAGATTTAGTTCTTGTTCTTGGTGGAGTCAAAACTCAGTTCCAAGGGAAACATAGTGACCCCATTCTGTACATGAGAAACTAAAATTCAGGATTTACGAAACTTATGTGATCATGTGGACAAGAATTGGAATCACTGGGATTCGAATGAAGTCATTGTCAACAACAGAGGTTGCATGCCTACCTGTTTTTTATTTATTTCATCCACAGACCAGCACTGAGGAGAGTTTAGGGAACTGTAAGAGTCCAGGAAATTGACTTTTTAAAGTTATTATTCTGTGTGTCTGTGTATATATGTGTGTGTATGTGTGTATTTCTTCACATGTGCATACACATGTGCATATATAAAGAGGTCAGAGGAAAACTTTTGTGAGTTGACTATTTCTATCTAATGTAGGTTCAGGAGATCTGTGGTGTTTTGAATGAGAATGGCCCCCAAATGGCTCATATATTTCAATGCTTGGTCTCCAGGTTATGGAACCATTAGGAAAACATGAGGAGGTGTGGCTTTGTTGGAGAAAGTTTGTCACTGGGAGTGGACTTTGGTTTCTGTGCCACTTCCTGATTAGCTATCTTTCTACCTCATGCTTGTGGATAAAGATGTGAGGTGTCAGCTAGTTCTCCAGCACCACGCCTGCCTGCCTGCTGCCATGTTCCGTGTCTTGATGGTTGTGGACTCTAACCTTCTGCAATCATGAACCTCAAATTTAATGTTCTCTTTTGTAAGTTGCTTGGTCAGGCTGTCTTATCATAGCAGCAGGGAAGCAACTAAGGCAGAATCTACCTCATGTTGTCAGACTTTTAGCTGCTGAGTCATCTCAACAGCCCCAGGGAATTGATGTTTCAGTTAACATTGTAATAACTCTATAACTTGGGTGAAAGAATCTGTAATTTCCATACCTCATGTCCTCCCTAGTTAGATATACCATGGTCTGGTGTATATATATATATATATATATATATATATATATATATATATATATATATACACATCTCTGTGTCTCTTTTTCTTCGACTAAAACCAAGAAAAATACTGTGGCTGTGATTTTAATATAATTTGTCCTTTCTGAAGCACATGCTGAGTTTAATTCCTTGTATGTAATATTAAGAGGTAGGAACAAATGGGATCTTTTTTTAATTTTTGTTTTGGGTTTTGGGTTTTTGGTTTTTCAAGACAGGGTTTCTCTGTGAAACAGTCCTGGCTGTCCTGGACTCACTCTGTAGACCAGGCTAGCCCTGCACTATAGGATGGCTTTACTTGCCTCTGCCTCCCCAGTGCTGGGATTAAAGGAGTGCACCACTGCCATCTGGTGATCACAAATGGTATCTTTAAAAGCCAATTTGGGAGTTGCTTCATGAGTGAGTTAAAACTAGTCATGAGATCAATGGATTCATGATTTTCTCAGGAAAATCCTGCCCTACACGTAGGTCTCTCTTGACATGTGAGGTCCAGCACAGCTGTCTACCAGCAAGACCTTCACCAGAAGGTCAAAATGGAAATGACAGTCACCTAAATATTTAGAAAGAATATGATCATATGTATATCACAACTTTCTTCACTAAACAAGAATACATTTAAATACAGAAACATACGGCCACATTTATATTCCTTTCACTATAATTTTAAAATTCCCCAGTTCCAATGAGGTGCTAGGCCATTTCCTCTGCAAAACACAGGCATTTGATGAGGTAGTATTACACATGTAAATCTCTGAGATGTTTTCTTCATGAACCAGAATTTAGCACTCCCATGCTCAAAATTATTTGAACATGACAACTTCCAGGAAAAACCTAATTTTCACTGAACCAATATCAGATATAACATAATAGTCTTTCTATTCTCTCAAAAAAAAACCTGATGTTTTGGCCATAATATCAATGCAGTTATAGTGGAATTTTCATAACTTGTGTCTATGTTGAGAACAGGTTAGAAAGTTTTTTTCTGATAACAAGTTAGTGAATTCCTGAAAAGATCCTATGGAAAGCTAGCAGGTTTACTGCTTCCCATCAGGACAGATGAATTTGATGGCCAATAAATAAATAAATAAATAAATAAAAAGACAGAGAAACCTCAAGGAATGAGAGAACCACAAACTTTAGTTTTACAGAATTTAATATTTTCAAAAAGACAGAAAATATAAAAGTTATCAAAAATGTGAGCATTCATTTTGGGGAAAAGTAGTTGGATTGAAACTTGCAACTGATTTCTGGTAAAGAATCAGAACCACGGCAGCTATAACTGTCCTGTGTAAAGCCCTCCTATAGAAAGGCAGGAATAGGATGGATGGGAAACACACACGTCACGCCCTGCAAAGCTTCCAGAGGTCCAAAGGGAGTATCATTTTGCATGCTTAGATTCTACTTCCTCAAGAATCCACTCAATGCCATTCAAAAAACCAGTCAGAGTTTCAGCCTCCATATCCTGGACCTGTGAGTGGGCGAGAGAGGATGCTGTCAGTTCAAACCAGAATCCTAGGATGAGTGGCATTTCTCTAGACATCATTTCTTTTTTTAAGAGCTGAATGACCCGCCTAAAGTTTGGGTAAGTTTTTCAAGTACTAACATTGGAAACAATCATATGAACCAGTGATCTTCTCTTGTCTTCTAACCTTGTCACTGTTAGTCTGAGTTCCTGGAACTCAGCTCTAGAAATGGGAGAGACAGGCTTCTTGTGCATCCTGGAGACAAATTCTCCAAAGGATCCTCTTTAAAAAGGAAAACACTTTTTAATGACCCTAACCATCCAACTAATCATCGTGACACACTGCCCAACTGACCAGAGCTTAATGGACCCAAGAGACATTTAGAAAGCACCTTATCTAAAAGCTGCAGAATATATGCTTTTTCTCACCGTAGATTGGAACATTCTCTATAATAGACATTATTTTAGACTACAAAATCTTCAACAATAGGAACAATGAAGTAAAAAAAATCATGCATTTTTATGGCTAAAGGTAGAATAAAACTAGAAATAACAATAGCAAAAAGCTAGAAATGGACAAATATATGTATTAGCATGCTACTAAACAATGGGACATTGGATAAATGAGAAAGGCAAATAAAAATGGGAAACAATGTACCAAACATATGAGACATAGCAAACACAGTACACAAAGGCATGTTAGAGCAACAAATACCTACATTAAAACACACACACACACACACACACACACAAAGATTTCAGGGGGAGGGGCATATTTTGGGCCCAAGCCCCAGTAGATAAATAAAATTTCAAATAAACTTGCTAAGGATGTATCTCAGAGGTTTAGGGAAATCAGAACAAAACAAACACTATAGTATGAGATGGAAAGAAAAACCAAGAAATAAAACAGTGATTTGAACGTTACAAAAGACAAACAGGTGATTTTCTGAATTTTAAATAAAATCAACACACCTTTAGCTGGGTCGGGAGGAAAAAAAAGAAAGATCTTTAGCTCCAGCACTTGGAAGGCAGAGGCAGGTGGATCTCTGTGAGGTCAAGACAAGCCTGATCTACATTGCAAGTACCAAAATTACCAGAGCTACATATAAAGACCCTGTCTCAAAAGTAATAATAATAATAATAATAATATTAATAAATTAAAGAAGATGAAAATAAAAAATAATAGACCAATAGAGACTATTACAACTTATCTATGGAGTTTCTTGTAAGCTATCTTTAAAATAAAGATTTCATTATTCAAATAAAATTTAAAGCATGAACCTATGAGATGTACATTTTCAGTGGTGTTGTGGACCAAACCCTTGGGTCTCCTGCATATTGGGTAGGTACTTCACCACTGAGCAACATCCTCAGCCCCTATGGCCTGTATTTTTACATGAGAAATGCTACTCATCTTAAGATTCTTAAAGCACACACTTTGGTGCTGAGAACACCAAGCCCAGTTACTGTCTTACTGTTCCTACAACAGGAGGGACAAATAGGGAAGAGATGACCGATCCAAAATATTACCACCCATCAATCGAGCCCTTGAAATCCACTTTAGAGTGGTAGTTCATTTCAAAAATGAATGCTACCATTCTGATTAGTGTTCCCTAAAGTTCTCTGTGTCAGAGCCTTGGCCCCCACCACTGATGCTGTTGGGGAGTGGTGACACTTTCAAGAACGGGAGATCACTTGGGATGTTCCTAAAAGGTCATACTGCGATCTCACTCCCTTCCTCTTTCTCTCCTCTTTTGTTCCAAGGCAGGTGTTTCCTCTACCCTAATCTGCCTTTCCACAGGCCCAAAATTAAGAGGGTCAACTGATCATGAACTAAAGCATTAAAAACTGAGAGAAAATATGCCTTTTTTTCTTTTACAGTTGTTTTCAAAGCTCACACACATACATGCAAACATACATGTGCACATATATAAATAAATGTATTCAAAAGAAAGTGCACTACAAATAAAGAGCAGTTAGAACCTTACCATCCACGGGTGGTTTATAAGGTTGAGACGCAACTCATGAGCTAAATAAAAACAGGGTATTCTTTTTACATCTGCTTGAGAAATACAAGATAAAACCAGCATTGGTCTTCCTGAGGATCCAAAAGCTGGATCTGTCATGGCCATAATACGAGAAAATTCATCTTGCCATTCATGTCCTAAGGAATTTAAGTTAAAATATGTAATTTGCATTACTTACAATCACTCTAAAAATAATATTTAAAAACAGCACACAAAGAAATTAAATTTTTTTACCAGGATTTAAACACAATAAACGGCATTTATTGCTGAGATTTATTCATTGTTCTGCCACAAAATTGTATTAAACTGCCTTTCAAAGGCACAGAGATGCCATAGAGAAATACAGTCACGATAACATTCAGGTGTCCTGATTGTTTATGAAACGATAACTCTCTCTTACGCATTCTGCAACTATCTGATTACCCTTTCTTTCAAAGGTCTTACTTCTAACATCTGGGCATAAAATTGGGTCTAATTTTCTCATGCAGATTTTCTACTTCTGCCTTTTTACTGAAGGGTCCCAACCACTGACAACATGATAAGCAAAAATCCCACGCTATTTCCCTCTATCCGCCTGCCGAGAAGCTTGGGGGGCACTGTTTCTTTTTCTGTCTCAGAACTTTTATACTTAATGCTAGGGATTGTATTTAGAAAGGCAGATAAAGGCTGAGGTAAAGTGAACCGACTCTTAGAGGTAGGCATGTTCCTTTAACTGTTGGGACATTAACACATTGGTTCAAGTCAAAGTAGTCAGTTGGTAGATTTGGCTTCTATTGCTATAGTTAACGTCAACAGAGAGAATTCACATTCTCTCCACAGTTGGATATGATAGATCACATTTGTAACGCCAGCAATCAGGAGGATGGGGCAGCATAAATTGCCCTAAGTTCAAGGCCAGCCTAGGCTCCACGGTGAGGTCCAGGCTCAATTTTTACACACCAACTTCACTTTTAGGATGGTGTGCCCCTTGGCATGAATAGTAGAACTAACATCCTATCCCCATGCCTTTCTACAGTATGGGAAAGAAGAAACCAATACATTTTCAGTTATCCACATAAATTATTTAACTATATCAGACACAGAGAAAACATCAGTAATTTTAAAAAATGGCTATAGAATCAACCTTAGAAGATGGTGTAACTACTGAATTCTTTCCTGTCCTGGTAGAAAGGTCTTCTGTGAAAACATTCTTCCCCTCCACAGAATCAGAAAACAAAATATTTAAGCATATCAGAGGCAGAGAAAACATCAGTAATTTTAAAATATGGCTATAGAATCAACCTTAGGCACGTATCAGGACTCAGTGGTGCTTATAAAAACCAGATGTCCAGGACAACAGGTCATGTCTACGGATCATAATGTGGCAAGCTAGGAAATTCCCTTGTAGTCCTAATGTACAACAAGGTTTGAAAACACTAGTGGCCGTAATGGCCAGAAGATCACAGAGGTAAAATCTGTTGTATTATTTTGGTGCTGTAGCCATATGATTATTTGTTTTGCAAAGAATGCTGTAGTGGCACCTTGAGGAAGAGATAAAAGAATGCTTACGCTTGTGAGCTTCACCATTTGCCACATAGATGAAGCCATCGACAACTTCACACACCTTCTGGATTTGTGGAATCACACTGTAGCGGCTTCCTCGCTGCTCGTCCCCTTCACGCTGTAGGCTGAACATCTTGTTAACTGTACTTGTGTGCTCTTCCCTTGCCCTGTCTCTTTCCTTTCTTCAAGAAAAAGAAAATACGAACAGTGTAAGAAAAAGACATTAAACAGGTTCCATCCCATTAGAATGTTCCACGGTTGATATTTCAAGCAGCCCACTAAGCAGGCAGCCTTACCTGGTAGTCGAATATAGTATCAGGATGTTGAATTTATGTTGATTGTTCAACTGGAAATTGACTCCAGATCCAATACCTACATGAGAAATTCAATTATACAAACAAGTCAATAATAAGCAGCATTTAAAAAATTACACTGAAAAATTATGCAATGAAATCAAAAAGGGCAACGGAAAAAGAAAACACAGAAAGTTACATGCAACTTTAGAATAAAATGCAATGCTTGTGATAAAGGAAAAAAAAGTTGTGTGAACTTGTGATTCACAAGGTGGCAAAAACTCAGATAGAGAACTCAGTACAGCTTGGCTCTTCAGTGTTCAGTCATCATTACAAACACTACAGGGGCAGCTGAGGCACGGCAACTACTTCTATTTATCCTCAACGTTGACTCCTCTCCATACTTTATGCTTCCATTGGCCTTACAATCCGTGTATATATTCAGTGAGGGCTCCTTCATCCCCTATGAAAAACTGTTTATAAGCATATGGTGTGGCATTAGAAATGCCTTAGAAATTGAGCCAGAGATACAGATACTGAAATTTGGATGTGGATTAAAATCCTGTTTGCCATGAAAGTCACTTACTTGTGAAACTCTGTTTTGACACAAAAGTGAAATGAAATAATCTCTGCTTCTTGGTGGTTGCTGCAAGGATTTGTCTGCGATCTAATGTGTGATACCAGTAGGTTGCTAAATATTGCCTTCTTATTGCTTTGTGTCTGAGTCACCCAATGCTGTTGCTGTCCCCTTCTTGGCCTCATCTGTGTTGTTGTTGGTGGTGGTTTTGTTAATGATCAATGTCTTTTTTGGCCTCCTAGAAACATCCTTGATTCCATAGCTCAAGTTCTTGCTAGACAAATGTTCCCTTAGATCTGTTCAATTCTCTTCATGGCCGTTCTCCTTTAATACAAATTAACAACCTGCAATTTCTTCTAAGCAGTCCTCTAAATCCTCTTGTTTTAACTAGTCTTTCTTGTGGTGGCAGATACACTGCTTAATGATACATATCTAAGTGGTTCTCTTCTCTACAAATCCATGGGCCTCCTGATATACAAATGAATATAGTCTGACCCCACTTACTTCATTAGAGACAACGGCTGCCTTTCATTCCCTTAATTCTCGAATTCCACTTGACTAAGCTATGTCATATTATCTTATGTCATCATTCTAAGCATCACATAGATAGATTTGGACTTGTGGGTACTAAAACTCTATCTCAAACCACGTGATCCTCTACTCCTCCAGCCATGATATTCCACAAAAAGCACATGGAAAGAGAACCAAATGTTCAGCTCTTTGTTTAAATCAGTTTGATTTATCCTTTCAACACATCTAACCTGAGCCCAACTTGTTATGCAACCCATATTCTTCTTTGGCCTTGTAGACTATCATTTTCAGGCAAACACTTAAGACTCTGTAAGGAGAATGTAACAGCCATTTCACAGTTATCAAATTTCCTCATGTCATCTGGCTTTTTCTGAAGTGTTGCTTTTGTTCTGAGTTCTTGCCTGCCTTATGTAATATTTCTCTTGTCAGGTACCAGAATTGCTTATTTCATCATACTCTCCAGTGAAGAAGTGGGCTGATCTCTCTACATCCAATGACTTATCTAAATCTTTTCTCAAGAACCGTCTGGAACAGTTCCATCTGAAAAACACACCATTCAGTTGGAAAGCAGTCTCTCATCTTCAATTTTATTATCCATGGTCATCCCTTCCCCCAAGGCAGACTTCAGCATGCTGCTTACTGTCTTTCTTTCCATCTTCCTAAAGTACATGAACTGCTTATGACTGCCAAATGTTAATTTCTCCACTCTTGGTCTTCAGATCTGGACACATATTCTGTAAGTCATTCATTTAATGTGTGTGTAATACTTACTCTTCTACTGCTGTAACAAAACACCATGACCAAGGCAACTTACAAAAGAAAGTGATTAATTTGGGGGCTCATTATTCCAAGGGGTCAGAGTCCGCGAATATCATGGTAATTAATGATCATAGCAACAGGGAGACAGTGGCTGACAGCTTACATCTGAACCACAAGCACAAGACAGGGAGAGCTAACTGGAAATGGTGTGTGAGCTTTTGAAACCTCAAAGTCCTCATTGATGCACCTACTCTTAAAAATGCTGCCCCTCTTAAACCTTTCCAAACAGTTCTACCAAACAGGAGCCAAGTATTCAAATATATGAGCCTATGTAGGCCATTCTCATTCAAACCACCATAGTGTGGAACCTATGATGTGTCTGGCATTATAATACAAGTAAAACTAAAACTGACAAGATCCCCAGCTCCTGCCACCAAAAAAATAAATAAATAACCACAAAAGTCATTCTCCTCTGATAATTCCTTACCCTAGTGAATGACTTGAAACCCAACAGACACCACAAGGCAAAATCTGCTATCCTTAGTGCATAATCATTATTAATTGCATCAATTTACATCCTCGATATTCACTTCTTTTTCATCCCATGACCCCTTTCATGTGTTTTTTTTAATCATAGATTATAGCAGATTCTTTAGAGCCTTTTAATTAGTTTTTACTCAGGAGCCAGAATAAACTTTCCAAAATGAAATCTTGATCCTCTCAACCCTTTGACAAATTTCCTTCAATGGCTCCCACATAATTTTATGCATCCCATGTGTTGTGGTTATTTACATAGTTCTGCTCTTTCTATATTTACACATACTTCAGCTGAGTCCTAAACATACAGAATTTTGTGCTTGTGTCCTTGTTTTAAGGGAATGCAGTTACTAATACTGATGAGTCTCAGCTGGCATTATCATCAATGTGCAGTCTTTTTTTAATTCTCATCTTTCTACACAGAAGCTAACTGACCATATTCTAATAGTCTAAATACTTGTCCCTGTCCTCACTTGGAGTCATTGTCTTCCTGGAAGACCAAGATTTGTTCTAAATCTCTGTATCTATGCCATTTACAGAGTAAAGTGTATCTTACATTGTATCTGTACTCCTGGTTATGACACCAAAAGGTCACATGCTGGTTTGTGGGTTGCTTGTTTGTTTGTTTTTTTGTAGACGGGAAGTGATAATGTAGTTCTTTTTTTAAAAAAAATCCCAACATATATAATAATAATTTGCAAATAGATGTTCAATAGTTTTTCTTGGTAAGTTTTTCTTATGGTAAACATGATATGGACTGTTAAAATACAATTATTAATTTAACATATTAAATTCTAAATTATACAAATTTAAGAAATGAAGAAAAAAACGTACTTCTTATATTAATTTTTTTCTCATTTAGTGGGGCCTGGGAACCCATTCACCAATTTCTATATTTCATTACAGGATTTAATTTTTAAAAGCCTGTCTCTTTAACACTAATGTCAAGCTCCTAGTGTTAGAATTGCTATGTATTATATATTAACATGAAAATTACCATCAATCTGTCTATGAGGCAAACCAGCAGTTGGGCAAAGTTCCTCAGAAGACATCAAACTCAACACCAAAGATGTGTTTAATTCTTCCAAACCTGGTCCAAACATAGCAAACCGGGGTTCATTCTGAATGATCAGTGAATGTAAGAAAGAAGTAACAGCTCCATACATAGGGCGGCTGGCTTTCAAGGCTCTTCTTGTATATGGACAGCACATTTTATAACTGCATAAAATTGTCACAATTAGAAAATAAAATAGAAAACATTTAACTTGTTGTTCATTTGAGAATATATAATTTATTGAGTCCTTGCAAGGCATAGTAATATAAAGATTATAGTTTCAACCCTCCCAGGCAGTTGATGATAGACACCATTATAACATGTATGCAGAGTTCCATGACAAAGAAAAACATGAAGTGCTGGAGAGTGGCGGTGATCATGAAGCTACAGACATCCTCCAAGGAAGATGTTGTTTGCCTTCTTATCTTTTATTTAGTGTCTTTCATGAAACACCAATATTTGTTTGGATAGCTAAAACTAATTACATAGAATAGTAACTCATCTCTTCCTGAACAACTTTATTTTCACATCTGGGGAAGAGGAGGCTGTAATACCAGCATCAACTTAATAGAACCAGAGATGTTATCATACATCCTACAATTTCCAGGATAGTTCCCTACAACTTCACCAAAATGTCAATCATGTAAAGACCTAGAATCTTCATAATAAAGATAGACGACAGATACATAGCATTAAATCCTAGAAATTAAAGTATTACTAAAGCCATTAGTATCAAACTTCTTAAACCCTCCTTTAATAGACTCCAACGCAATAGTTCTGTATTCAAAATATTAAATAAATGCACAGGGAGACCCAAATATACCTCATTGAAAATTAGCAAAATAAAAGCTATGTGAAAGAAACTATGATGGCTTAGCAGGTAAATGTGGCCAATCTGATTTGATCCCAGGGACCCGTATGATGGAAAGAGAAAGGACTCCAAAAGTTTGTCCTCTGTCCTCCATATATACCATGGCTTGTGTGTGCCCACCCCCAAAACACACCCACACACACACACACACACTAAATAATAAATAAGAGCAATTAATAAAAGAAATGTCATTTGGGATTATTATAAAGGTCATGGTACATTTTGATCTAGTCATCCCATATTACCTGACATAATAGCATCTGAATTAGAAAGGCTCCGTAAAAATGGAAATGTAGGAGGAAAATCCTGCATGTAGCCACGGACTCTAGCATAGTACAACAAACAATTCTTACTCAAAGAAGGTCAAAGGTTCTTTTCATTTTTTTTAAAATTATGCTTTAAATGTGGGGCTCACAATAAAGCAGGTTTTACTGACATAGAGTGACATATTCTGAGGGAACATGATAGCATTGAACAATCCCTTACATGCTATGCTATACGCAAGACATACAACCACTCTCGGCCTCTGCATCCTTAACACGAAGATACGATATTTACATTGAACAAGGATAAAAGGAGTAAACATACACAGAGCAGATTCCCATAGAATCCAATATGTAGCATATACTCAAGAAACTTGATTTGCTCATGTACATGATACTCAAGAAATATCAAGGCTTTGAGGTAATAATAAGCTCTTATTTCTTGGAGTCTCAAAAATGATTTTCTTCCCTGCCAAAAAGAAGTGTTTTCTGATGTCTTGACATTCCTTCTCTGATTATGAAAAAACATTTACAATTTAACAAAGCAAAAAATATTAGAAAGATTATGAGAATTTTAAGAAATGTCTTCTTTCTTGCCAAACGTATCACATATGATTAATTGAAAAGTGGTTAGCCACCACAGGAAAATAACAAACGGTTAAAGCTGTAAGGGTCTTATGAAAAAACTCCGTTAGGTCAACCCATAATTTTAGCAAGGAGCCATTCAGACAAATTCCATGCAACAAATTAATAGTAGCATCAGAACTAATGTGGACTAGTTAGTGTAAAATTTAATATTTCTTGCTAATTCACAGAAATTGATACTTACACTTCCATGTAATCAAAACTCTTGCTGTCAGTGACCTCAGATATGGGCTTTTTTAAGATCTCTAGATCCGGAAGTGACTTCCAATCAACAGAAGACCAAGAAGGGAGGTCCCGCAACAGAAAATATCTCCAGAGAATTGGGTCTCTTACAGTTTCATTCCAGTAACGATCTGTACTTCCCAACTGGCACAGATCATGGGGTGAAAGAAATGACAAAATATATAGCTGTACATCGATCTGAAACAGAGGCAAGTAACACATAAGAAAAAGGAGTAGTCTGTCTTGGAAGGCTGGTGGCAACTTAGGTAATCAACAAAGAATTGCTAAAGATCAACTGAACGAGTCATTTTATACTACTTAAATCCATTTTATTTTTCCTTCATCCAGAGAAAAATCAAAACTCAACATTTTAATTCCTACCACATACAAAACGTTCTTGAAAGCTCAAGGCTTCGCCTTCCTATTTTTCAAGCAAAATAATCACTTCCTTATTTTTCTTCCCATGGGTATTTTGATATAGCAGATAATCAATAATTCTTCAAAATGTGTATCGAGTGGAATGTGTTCTGATTTTATCACTAGATCAAATGAAAGAGTGTGACTCTGTCATCTGAATTTCTCTAGATAGTCAATTAACCTGTTTCAAAGGACACAGGCAAAAAGCTTGAGGGGAAGGGGTTCATTTGGAATGAATGTCAGTGGGACATACCAATAATCCAACTGAGATAAAAGAAATGTAATAACAATGTACAATCTCTTCATTTTCCGATCTTTCTCTGAAACTTTACATAACATGCACTCTCTTTGTGACCTGTTCTAACTTGAGGCCCTTGCAACTTCGTTTATTTCCAATTACGTGGCAGTTTTGTTGTTTACAATACATCAAACTTGCTTGCTCCAGGTCATCCCCTAACTGGAATATACTGATCTTGGGCCTGAAGATGAGATTTGCAGAACAGAGACAATGGAATGCTTTCCTTAACCAGATGTCCAGATAATCCTATTTGGACGACTGGCAATCTGTGGTCACTAGTGTGAGCTGTGGGGCGACCTTTTCTGGTCCGGGGCCACCAAGCGTCAACGTCCCGGCGACTCTGGCTGCGGTCCCTCCAGGCGGGCACACAGCCGGAAGTGGCAGCCGGGCGGCCCCTCTGCGCGGCCTGCGGTCTGGGCTGGCTCACCGGCAGCCGCCTCAGCGCGCTCGTCTCCTCCTTCTCCTCCTCCCGGGAGGCCGTCCGCGCCGCCCGCTCTTTGCCCACCGAATGCCAGAAGGTCCTCCAGCCGCTCAGGATGGCGGCCTCCAGGCGGCTCCAGTCGCTGGCGGGCGGCGGGGAGCCGGCTCCGCGGGGCTCACTTCCAGCCATGGCCGCCGTCGCCGCGCGACACAGCCGGCCGCACGGGCTTCCTGACCGCTCGGCCTCCGTCTCCGCCTCCGCCTCCGCCCGCCCGCCGTGCTGGGCCGAGCCCGGCTGGCCTACTGAGCGCGGTTCCGGGCCAAGGTCTGCACCAACCATCGCTCACCCCCTCACGGGTGCTGACCACCGCAGCTGGCGAACTCACCACTGCTGGAAACCCTCTGGCCCCGGAATGACTGCTCCCCACCCTGTGCCCCTGTCCCTTACCCCAGACTTATGTCCTCTCTGTCCCCGGCTCTGTTCACTGCAAGGACCTAGGCGCGATGGCTTGAACAGCCAACCTTTTCTGTGATTTTGGTCCTAATTCCACTTGCTTCCCCTTAAGAATTAGGTGTAAGCATGCTGTGTGTGTGCATCTGGGGTGTTGGAGTCACCAATTTACCGCTTTCTTGGAGTTTAGTAAAAACTAAACTTATGGAGACTCTAAGGAATCCGTGGAACTCAAGTTCTTCAAGAAGTCACATCTGTATTAAAGATACTGCAGGGTGTGTGGCATAGCTGACTAGCACATCCTGCTTTGGAGAAAGAAGGTATTGTAGATGAAGAACCAAACCTGCCTCATATAGGGTCCTTTAATAGCTCTTTACCTTCAATCTCTGTATTTGGTCTAACCTCATCAGGAATATTAGGTAAACTTGTGGTTAGTAAGTTTAGCAAACACCTAGTCTTTACAAATGTTTTAAGATTTAACTATATGTATGTGGATATTTGCCTGAACATGCACGTTCCTGTTGAGGCCAGGGACACATCCCCTGGGGCTTGAATTACAGACAGTTGTGTCACCCACTCAGGTCTCCTGTAAGTACAGAGCATGCTCTTAATATCTAAAACCCAGAGAAGATTCACCCAGTTTGATCTAGGTTGTCGACATAATGCCTACATCAGGGCAGGTGGTGAATGTCTTTGATTTATGGCCTTTGCTCTGTGGCTGTAATAGTTCATGTTAACTGCTTCCACAACTCAGCATGCCATTCAAGGTAACTTGAATACAGTCTCTGGCCATGCTATTTCCCTCAAAAAAAAAAAAAAAATCATTGGGTACTTTGTACCAAAATGGTGAGTTTAGGCCTACTACAAAAAAATTAAGTACACTAAAAAAATTGTTCAATGATCTTTCATAAAAGGACAGGATGGAAGAAAATTTGATAGGAAAACAGAATGTGGTATTCTTTAAAGCAACTAGTGAATTTTTAATCTTTCAAAAGCCACATCTATTCTTCTCACTTTGATCTTAAAAGAAATTTAGGAAACCAGAGGTAGACTACATAACAAAACAATATTATATAGCACTGGATATAGTTTCTTTAGGAATGACACAAATACCTGTTTGAAAGTGTGTGTCAGTCATTTTCAAATAGATTATCTTCATCTAATCCCAAAATCCATTTCAAATCCAGACTTGACACTTACAGGGGACACTTTAATATTCTCATTTTAAATCATTTAAAATCTTTTAAGAATATTTAATAAGGACCAAAACATGTTACACTGTAGTAAGACAAATAACTTTTACCTTTCCAATCAAAATAACCTAAAGGTTTAAAACGCTGTTCTTCAGAGCATACATGATAGGTGGATCCCACATAATTAGTTTAAAGTCACTGTCAACCTATATCTGCTTAGCATTCCAAGACACACAGCTATATTCTTTTTGTGAAAAACATTTAAATTTTATGACCTTGTATATACAATTGGTTTAACATCTACTGTCAAAATGTTTTCCTATATCTAATTCATAGGATTTTTAAAAATTAAACCCATTTTATAACCTTCAAAGCAGAAGGCAAGGTCCACATATTTATAAACATTAAATCTTTAAAGAACACACTAAGCTACAGGAAATGGTTGCTAGTATATAAACATTAAAATGATACTTAACAATATATGGCAGCACATAACAGTACTGATTGCTCAGTAGTAGACCCTAAATGCTTTTTAATAGGACCCTTCATTCAAGAAGGAGTACCTGAAGATCTAAATGACAAGAAACAGAAATTCAACAAAGCTTGATGCTGGGACAACTGAGGCTCCGTGGGAACCTAAATTTAAAATGGTTATTATTCCACATATGCCATTGCTAGTATTGAATAGACCATCCCACAGGCTCAGGTAATCAGAATAAGGGGGAAAAACTTAAGAATTAATTTCTTATATGGATGGCATTTCTCATCCATAAGTTGTGTTTTATTTTCAGGGAAATAAAATTAGCATGAGAAGCTAAGTCAGTTATGAAGAAACAAAATGCCACAGCCTCTTATATTACAGGGAAATGTGGATTATTTGTTGAACGAAGAAGTCAGATTCATTATCGAAATATTTGTTAAAAATAAGATTGAGGGACTAGAGAGAAGGATCAGTGGTTACTAGCTCCTCCAACTCTTGCAGACAGTGGGAGTTGGAATCCCAATACCACATCAGGTGACTTCCAACCACCTGAAACTCCAGCTCCACAGGATCTGAATCCTCTATCCATGTAAACATTCTTAAAAATAATAAAAATAGAATATTAAAAGTCAGAAATATTTAGTAATTTACATAGAGTCACAGTAAGGAAATGGCAGGGTTGCAATTTAATTCAGGCCTTCTAGCTCCAGAACTCAAAATCCAAATCATTATGCTAACCTGTCTGTAAGTTATTAGGACCAGAAAAAAAAAAGCATTCAGAAATTAAGACAGCAAACTGAGAGGACATCTTTTTATTCTGATGCAAGAATAAAATATTAAAGAAAACAAGAAACAAGTAGGGGAATGTGATTTTATTTTATTAATCATATTCCAAAACACTGTAGTTGGAAAATGTCACTAAAAGTTGCAAAAAACAAAACTACTAAACACCAGCATAAGTACATAATGAATACTTTTAATTCCAGCTATATTAAGCTTATGTTAATATAATACTTCCATAATGTATTTCATTTTATATTAAAAGAACTCAGGGTAAGTAATACTAGAGAACTATGGGATCCTGGATTCTGTGGCAGATGGGGTAGCCTCATGAGTTACAAAAAGGGTCCTAGAAGAGGAGCCAAGGAGATAAGCAATCTAAAAGTTGGTAGCAGTGGGATTTTAAAGCATCATGAAGATAACTCTGAGAACGCCTTCAGATACAGCTCTCACACTTTAATGAATATCAGAGCACTGACCACAGACTGTAAAGCTAGGAATGTAACTTAACGGTGGGCTTTTAGCCATGACTCTTATCCCACTCTGCTATAAGCAAAATGTAAGGGAATGAATGTCATCGTATGTGCCTTAACATCAAATAATGCACAGTAGCCAGAAACCTATAAACAGTGAGTCAGTCTCTTCAGTCTTTTTGTTTTGGTTTTGTTTGTTTTTTGAGACAGGGTTTCTCTGTGCAACAGCCCTGGCTATCCTGAAACTTTCTTTGTAGACCAGGCTAGCCTCAAACTCACAAACAAGTCTTAAATCCCAGTCCACATCAGAAAATTCATATTGAGTAAAGAATGATAAACATTTAAGGATTGCCCAAAATCCTATAATATTTTACATCTTAGTAAACAGCAGAGAATTCACACTGAAGATATAGTGATTTTTCAGTAGAAGTATGAAAACAAAAACTACTGGAAACCAGCATGAGTATATAATGCATACATTAATTGTGACTATATTGAGTACCTCTTAATGTAATATTTCCACACTAAGCTAACTCATATTGTGTTTAAAATATATAGGGAAGTGATATCAAAGAAACTACAGAGTTCTGGCTTCTGTGGACAGATGCAGTAACCTTACAGAAGACAGAAAAGGGAACTAGAAGGTAGAAAGAAAACCACCTGGAATGAATAAAAAGCCCAAGGCTTTCCGGCAGTACACATGAGGAACACCACAGATAAGAAATCCATTCAATGCAAAAAAAAAAAAAAATGAGAAAGTTTTAAGTGGTGACTTCATAAGAAAGTCTGTGAGTGTACTGAGCATACAAGGCATCTACACAACAGAATGGAAACTGAAGACAGGTGCTTAGATGTGCCTTTCTAACCACTCTAAATAAAACAGCACCCATCTCCAAGTCACACTTATCCCTTACAGGCTGCTGAACGCTTTACAGTGTTATCACTTGACATACTGTATACTATACCACTGAAAGCCCCATAATGGGGGGGGGCGTTTATAAAGCTATATCCTCAGTGCCTACATCAAGATATGGCATGTAGTAGGCACAAAATAGCGTTGAATCGATTACAGACTTGATTATTGTCCATATGTAGAGTACTTGGTATTTTGAGGTTACTTCATTCTAAATAAAAGAATTTACTCATGAAGATTAAATGAATACAAAATGTGTTGTTCTTTTATAATACCATGGTAAAAAGTACTGCAGCTATTATGGTCGACAAATTCTTCTCCAGTTGTTTGGGGGGAAGGAGTAAATTATACAAAAAGCACCCAAGAATACCCTCATAATTGTACCAACTAGTGAGTCCATAAAGGTCACAAAGGCAAAACTTGAAGCTCTCAGCTTCTGAAGATGAAGTCTTTCACAGGTTTAGCATCCAAGTCATAATTTACTCCTCTGAAAAATACATATTCCTCCTTCCTGTATCAACCACTGGTATAGAGGGCATGGCAGTCTGGAATGCAATAGCAGCAACCCTTTTGTGCAAAATTTGGCATTTCAAATCATGCCTCATTAACTCAAAAAACATTACTACCTACCATGCAATGAATGGTATGTGCAAAGGTAAAATTTTAAGATATGGAGTTCATTCAGTAGTAAGGAAAATAATTACAACACGTTGTACTGTGATAACATGAAAAAGATAGAAAAAAATAAGGAACATCTAATTTCTATTGTAAAGGGCTGAAAAAAAAAGCCTTTGGACACTGTGTTACTAAGGGTACATCATACAAGTAAAGTATTTACCTGGCCACAAAGAAGGGCCTAGAAACAATGGTGTCAACAAAGGCTGTAAAACATGTGCATTTAGGAAAAGTACTGGAAGTACTTGATTAATTGACTATGACCCACTGAAGAAGTCTGTGCTTCTAAAAACCACATTAAAGATTATTTAACTTTAGAAAGCTAAGGTATTTTCATAATAAAACTTGCTAAAGTGCTAGGTTACATAAAAATCTTGGTTGTATAACGATAGGCCAGGAGTTGTAGCAGGGATGGAAGAATCTCCCCTAGCTTCCATTGCTTATTCGGAATTTTGTTTATGAAAAAAGAGCCTGGGATTTTGATGTCTGAAAAACATTGGTCTAGAATACAAGTCAGTGTGTGTAGAAATGAGGATAGGAAGGGAAGTCTTCTGTTTTCCTTCTTGAAAAAGTACACAAAACTAGGGGGAAACAAGCAGAGAAGATTTTCCATAAAAGATGAAAATTTGTTTGCTCATACTGAATTTAAAATTACTGTGTTGTCAGTATTTGTCAAAATGAAGACATTTAATAGGCAGTTAGAAATAAACTTCAGAGAGCAAGGAGACTAGAGCTCAATTCCGTGAATGGAAATCAGCCTAATATTATAGGCATTATGAAAGATATTGCTTAACATGAGCATTTGGAGTAAGAAAAAAAAAACAGAACTTTCACAAGGACAGATAAAAAAATGAGAAACAAGAAAAACAAAGGAAATACCAACGTTTAGTCAACAGAAAATAGGCAACCTATTTTTGTTTAAAACAGAAAAATGAGTAAGTATTAGCTGATTCTCTCAGAATCTAAACTTCCTGTGAAAGAATAAGGGAGGAGGTGACTAATGAAATTTGACTACCACAGTGGGAAAGGACAGGCACCTTAGTCACTTGCAGTTAAGGTTCTTCTAAGTGAAGTCCCACGTGTAGTAACAGGCTTTGAAGGACTACACGCCTTCCATAGACCTTAGCCTCCTAAGGTTAAATGGCTGAGGAAGGAGCCATTAACACAGTGTTGAGAGCCTGCTAAAGACAACACTAGCAGATAAGACAGAAGAGGAAACAAGGGGACCGTAGTTCAGATGGTGCCACTGAAGTGCAGGGCAAAGAAAGCTCACTGCTCAAGAGTTACGAAAACAGTCAAGAAAGAGCCCTGTAAAGAGGAAGGAAGCTGCAGAATGAAAATAGAGAAAAACCAAGAAAAATAAGGAAATTTTAAGAGATGAGAATTATCATCAGTTAACTGAAATTTAAGATTTTAGACAGAGAAACTGAGTATGGCTGATGCCCAAGGAGCATCCTGGAATGTAAAGATGTCACTGGGACAGAAGTCTAGTGCATCAGAAGAGATCATCACACAGACCATCCCAAGACAACAGAAGTTGAGGTAGGCAGAAAGACGGTGAGCAAGACAGCAAACTAGGCTCTCTGACCATCAGCATTTCAATCTTAATAAAGGCAAAATATATGCAAAGATGTGCCCTAGAAACATCTGAACTAATGACAGAATCATCTCTACTGAGTTTTACCTTCATACTGGAGAAACCATGCAGTTTTTGTTTTTAAACAAAATAAGAAAATAATTTATAAAATAGCTAAGACAATAATTTAAGTATTATTAGTAATACAAGGCAAAATAAATACAATGATTCATTTTTTAAAAATATTTTGCTATTTAGCTTACTGGAAATGAAATCTAAATATTAGTTATAATCTTTTAATTGCCCACATTTATACTCATAGTATATATCTGAAACAAGGAGGATAACTGATTTTCATCTTTGAAGTATACATACTTCAAAATAAGGAGATTTTGTCTTACATATATTTTACTACAATGAAAATATAATCTAAAGTATTATAAAGCAACTATCAATCTACATTGGGTTCCTCCTTACCAGTGGCAAGATTATACGTAGTTCAAGTTCAGTTAGAATAACATATACACCATTTTAGGAATTAGAGAATACTTTTTTCACAGATTTGAGACTATACAATGAAAGGAGATAGCATTAGGAAAGGCTCGCCACATTGGGCCCCTTTCCGTAGTGTAGTGTTGTCACGATCAGCACAGTACATCTCCTTTGGTGACGCCTCCTTTCCCTCCCCCATCTTCCCGTCTTTCGTTCCGAGGACTAGATGAACACCTAGCTACAGTGCTGCTCAAAGAAGCTCAACATCTGCTTAGCATTCGTCGTGTTCCACTCCTGCGCTTTCAGAGGCCCTTCACACACCGACACATACTTCTTCAAAATTTTCTCTCCTACTTCTCGGAAATCCAAAGGTTCTCTGTGTGTGGTACAGCTTGCTCCACAAACATCAGTATCAACTTCATGATTTTCTGACTGCCGATCTGTGCAATGCTTTAATCCCCAGTAGCACATTTCTCCACTGTACATCATAGCCAGTACATGAATATCACTAAATATTCCTGGGAAGGCCATTCATTTTGAAATTAGAAATAAGTTTATAGAAAGAAACATCAGCTACTGAAAAGCTAATAGTCTTCACCAATAAACATTTTCCACACCATTTATTGATGCTCAGAAAAATCCACTACACTAGCACATTCCTAACTTAATTAGTCTGTCTTGTACCTAGAAAGAAGTTTATCCCCCAAACAAAGCAGAGTATTGTCAAATAATTTTTTTAAATAACCATTTAGGTGTTCATCACATTTCTAGGAATCCTCTTTAGGAACTTTTGTTTTGTTTTTTTAATTATGCTGGTGAAATCCTTCTACATTATACCCTAAATTCTGTATATAGCTTCAGAACTCTCATAAATCCCCTGAATTGCACTCATGAACACAAAGTTATTTTTGGAAGATGCTTTAGGATCAGTGATAAAACTGTATTATTATTATATGTCTTATATTTAAGTCTACTAATAGTCTCATGTATAACCATGTGTTTGATAGGCCATACATTTCTAAATTATCACAGATGCCAATGCTATCCAAGATGCTTTGTATCACTGGGAAAAAAGAATATCTAGGACAATTTTTATCAAAAGATGAATATTCCTTTTTAACATTATTTCCAGCAATTTTGTAATTAAATATCTATGATCAAAACATGTTAATTTTTAGGAAGATTAATTAGAATAAGAGATCTAGGTAGACCAGGAGTAGTAGGAATATTTATAATTCCAACAACTTGGAGATGAGCAGTATTACAGTTCCAGACAAGCCCCTTATACTACAGAGGAATTTCAGGCTACCTAGGCTACATGTAAAACCTTATCTCAAAAAAAAAAAAAAAAGTTAAGACAAAAAATGGTATTATTAAAATATATGATTAACTACTTAAGGTCACTTATACACAAATAAATGATTTATTCTAACGTGCAAGTACTTGTATGATAAGCAAATTGACGTCAAATAATCACGATAACCTCATCATGCTGGTATGAATAAGAATGGCCTTCAGAGGCTATATTTAAATACTTAGTTACCAGGGAGCTAGCTGCATTATTTAAAAGAATTAAGGGTATGGCCTGGTTGGAGGAGGTATGTCACTAGGAGTAAGTTTTGAGAGTCCTCTCTCTGTCTGCTACATGTCCATCAGGATGTAGCTCTCCCTCAGTTACTTCTCCAGCACCCCACCTGCCTGTCTGCCATCATGCTCCCATCATGATGAAAATGGCTCGAGCCAGCCCTCAATTACATGCTTTCTTTCATAAGAGTTGCCTTGGTCATGGTGTCTCTTCACAGCAATACAACAGTGACTAAGAAACTCACATAAAACAATTCAGTAGAACTCTCAGTACAATTGTAGCAGAATGCAAGTTTCTGCTGTTTTGAATGTGCCACTCACCAAATTTGTTCTTATAAGCTGTCATCTTCAAATTCTACCTAAAAATAGTGGCAAGTGAAGTAAGAGTTCAGCAGAACGGCTGACTCAATGAAGTACAGTGTCAACAAAAAGTAGCCACTGCAGATCAGAGCCTCGGGTGTGCCACACTACAATATGTTTTCTATGTGGAAAGCCATTTCTGCTTAGCAAGTACAATTAGCACATAAATGTCTATCTCCTTTAAAATTTACTTCTAGTCTGATATTAATAGCCCAAACTAGTTCTTTTCAAAACAAAAGTTAGCAAGCGTTCTAAAATCTTAAAAAAAAAAAAAAAAAAAACTTCACCTAGGGAACAAGGAATTACTTTACCTGTACTCAGTAATTTAGCTGTGTCTAGGTCTTGGAAAGAAACACCTTCATTTAACTGGATTGGGCATCGATGATTTAGCATCTGCAGCAAGTAATTGATCCCATCAACAAGGTACTAAATAAAGAAGCCAAACAAATGAAAGCATTAAACACAGAACTATAAACATGTTCTTTTTGTCTCATTCTTTACTAAAGGATAAATGGAGTGATATAGAGGTACATATAATTATGATTGCATCCCAGTGGCATAGGACTCACCAATCTAAGACTGTCCTAATATAAGTAATTAGAGTATGGAACAAGGACAAAATATCAGCCACAAACACATGCTGCAGCAATGCACTTACTTAAACATGTTATCAAAGGGTAAATGCTGTAAAGATGATTTCAAAAGAACTTTAGATATATGTGTATATCTATGTGGAGTTTTGTTTGTTTTGTAATACTGGGAACTGAACCTAGGTCATCATGCATGCTAGACAAAAGCTCTAACTCCAAACTATACTTTCAGTTCTTTCTATGATTTAGATATATTATAACTAAATTTTTCTACCTAAAAGTATGGCTTCCAGTTTCCAAGCCTATGTAAACTATGGATACATTTAGACTGAATTTGAATTCTTAGTGACACAATACTAAGATTCAAGTCTTTGGAATAATAATTGTTAGAACAGAGATAAATCACAAAGTCATACTGTTTTAGGAGCAGGGTCCTTCAGGCATTTCAGGATTTACCTTGCCTACAAAGACAGACTCATAACAAAACTTCTTCAACCAAAGAAAATAATTTAGAAATTAATAGTTTTATCTTATATTCAAACAAAAATAAAAACTAAGAACTTGAGTAACACATGTAGTAGTTTCCAAATGATAATCTTTCATGTGTCATTTTAGTCTTCACAGAAAATCTAAGAGCATAGCCTAAAATGTAGGCCTACTAACTCAGGATCTCTGATTTCACTACTTTTATTATAAAATTTTTTTAAGGTCTGTAAATGCTAACAACCAAAATCACAAATGAAATTGTTTTTTACCTTCTGAAGCAAGCTAGACTTTCTTAAGAGCCACTCTCTTCTCTTAGTTAGAGAATGACAGTACATATATAACAGGGCTCCTCTTCTCCAGGAGAGGCATTCTAGTAGCTCATCCCCAAGCAAATCGCACAGCTAAACAGAAACATAAAAGCCATATCCACAAAAAAGCCACACATTTACAAAAATCAAACTTCTAAAGAAAAGTAAGCAATTAAAACCACTCTCATTTCACAGAATGTGTCCAGGTTAGGTAAAAGAAGAATGCTTATGTTGGAATTAAGTAGAAATATTGTCGTCATCTATTGGTATATACACAGCAAAATAACTGTAATTTACAAATAGTTTACAAAATAACTTGAAAAATCATAGTAGCAAATTTCCCTACTATTATTTGGAAAATGTAAACTCCATTGTCCCATTAAAAAGATATCCTTTTAGAAACACATTAAGTTAAGATCATATCTATTTTTCTAGAAAGAAATAGGAACTGCAGAATAGAATAAGAATTAAATTTCTAGAATAATGAAAAGCTATATATATAAAAATAATTTGAATAAATCAAAATGTTTGTAGTGGTATGGACTTTAAATCCTGGGGTGATGTGCTTTTCCAGTTAGACTGTCCTAATGAATACAAAGAGCCAAGAAGGCATTTAAGTCGACAGTGAGCAGGCATGTGAATATAAGAATTAATTGACATGAAATAGTATCCAACAGGGTCAGCAGGAAGGCTCAGCAGATAATGGTGCTTGTTGTCAAGCCTTAAAACCTGAATCCAATTCCAGAACCCATATGGTAGAGGAAGAGAACTGATTCCTGCAAGCTGCCCTCTGATGTCCACATGTGTCCTTTGACACATACATGTGCATGTACATATTGCACCTACAAATAAACATTTTTAAAAAATTAAAAGAATATCCATGACTAGATATAGGAGGCCAACTAGAGAAGGCTGTTAACAAAGTGTGTGAACAGGACATTAAAGGCAGAACAGAGACTATCAAAGCATGAAGAAGATATCGTGGGCAATGCCTGTCTCTAAAATGAAAAAGAGGAGAGTTTCTGGCAAAGGGCAAGGGAAAACTCCTTAAGATAGAGAAAAGAACATGCAGGGATGAGTGATCAGTGTTAGTAAGAAACACGGCAAATGTTCACCAGAATCAGGATTTAAACAGATAGTAAAGACTGGCTGTTACAGGACATGATTTTCATCCCAGTATTTAGAAGGTGGAGGCAGGTGGATCTGTGTGAGTCTAAGGCTAGCCTGATCTACAGAGTTCAGGGGCAGCCAGCATTACACAGTGAGACCCTGTTTCAAAACTGGAAAGGATAAGAAAAAGGCAATAGACAAAAGTAGCAATTAGATTATATGACTGTCAAGAAACAGCACCTGCAAAAGTAAAAGGGACAAGGGAATATCTGTGTTAGAAAAAGAATCTGTATGCAATACAATTAAATACCATTATATAACTATCCTGAAAGTAGTTCACAAAATGCACTTTTCTGATCATGGCCTGGAGTGTTAAACTTCTCTTCCCCATCCCCTACCTCCTTTGAGACAGATCTTTCTAAATAGTTTTGGCCAGCCTCAAACCTACTATGTAAACCAGGTTGGCCTAGAACTCATGATTTAGACCAGGCTGGCCTTGCTCTCAGAGATCCCCTTGCCTCTGTCTCCCCAATGATAGGATTAAAGCATGTGAAACCATGCCCAGCAAACCTTTTTTTTTTTTAAATCTTAACTTAAAACAAAGACACATTCACAAGCAACAAAAATATAGTCTAAAGAGCAGGACAACACGTCAATGTTCTATTTTCATTCACAAGTATACAGAACTTACTTTGGGATGCATACTTTCTTTAACTAAAATTTCTGGTTCTGAAAGAAAACTGAGAAGCTGTTTTACTTTCTGGGGAGAAGAGTCTTCAGGAAAATCTTCATCCACTAGCTTATTCTCCTCAAAATACGTCATGTCCAAAATGGCCTTAAAACAAAAAAAGAAAGTATCTGTAAGAGATGGAGCTTCACAGAGTAGCAAAGAGTTTAGCCTTGCATGTAGAGAAGAGAAGCACTGTATTTAAATCTGAAAGTAAGCAAAATGTCCAGGCACATACAGGATTAGTGATGATACTGTATCAAGATGTAAATGAGGATTCATGTTTCAATTAACATGTTATAATTATGAATATGTAATCAATTATTAAATTATTTGCTGTTTATACTTGTATAAACCCTGAAAACTTTATAAATGCCTGATTTATAGTCTAATTCTACTCTTCAATACTGAATTTTTGGGGAATTTGTTTTCCCAAATATACAGCCAGTATTTGAGAGCATACATCCTGCCGCCACAAAAATCAAACATCCCATCAATGTATGCAATTCCAACACTGAGTCCCCAGCAGCCTGTAAGACCTTAAAACTCCTTAGATTTTTACTTATTTTCATCTACTGGATTAATAGCAAGGAAACTGGGTTGCAGTGGTAACAAAACTAAGGACTTTCTTTCAAAGTTCCCTTCTTTGAGAGTAAAATGAGTATGTAAATCACATGAAACACTGCAACCACTATTGTTGATACCTAAGTGATAAGGTCTAAGCCTCATCTCCAAGGAGACAGAGATCGGCACCTTTCAGACTTGTTTCAGAGCCATGAGCATCTTACAGAGAGAAGCTACGGAATCAGAGAACGGGCAGAGTGCAAGGCATGGGAAATTTAAGACTGTATCTCTGCATGTTCTGCTATACTGGGAAAAGTTAAACTATTTAGAGGATCTTCATGTATAAGACAAGCATAATACTCAGCACAGCAGACAAGAGTGGAAAGTCTTCTGAAGAGCTAGATACCTTCTAAGTTAGTTCTTAGGGTTTAGTTACTATAGGTTAATTCAGCAATGCTTGGAGGCAGAAACACTCACATGTACCTCCTATGAGGAAGCTCGGTGCTGGGCTTGTCAACACTAGAAGTGCATACTTTGAAAACTTAACCAAGTCCTCTACTTCCCACAACTAGCTCATCTTTACCATCTCTTAGCAATCAAGAAAGGGCATATGAAAGCACTTTGTCAACTATAAGTGCTATTCAAATATCAATTACTATAATGGCATTATAGTTCCTCATGTCAGTTTACCTCAGAAGTGTTTGAGAAAATCAAGAAGGCAGACACCAACCAAAAGGAGATATGGTGGTTAGAAACAAAATAGCCCCCAAAGGCAGTGTACTATTAGGAGGTGTGGCTTTGTTGGAGAAGGTATGGCCTTGTGAGAGGAAGTGTGTCACTATGGGGGTAGGCTTTGAGGTCTCATATATGCTCAAGCTATGCCGTGTCTCAAATTACTTCCTGGTGTCAGTGGGTCAAGATGTAGGACTCTCGGCCCCTTATCCAGCACCATGTCTGACTGCACACCACCATGTCCCACCATGATGATAGTGGACTAAATCTCTGAAACTGTGAGCCAGCCCAATTAAATGTTTCTCCTTTGCAAGAGTTGCCATGGTCAAGGTGTCTCTTCACAGCAATAGAAACCCTAACTAAGACAGGAGGGAAAAAGCAACGAAAAATGTCATGAATGTGTATAATGACAGCACAGAAATCATGTTAACAATCCTAGGAAAAGGTGAATTCCGGGAGAAAATTAGGCCCTACTCTCTGAAATGTTCAAGGTCTTAATTTCTAGTATTCTGATTAGTTATCATTAACAATGTTAATAGCGGTATTTTTATTTACACATCTAATGAATCTTACTCCTTTGCAAACTGCAGTTTCTTTTTAACAAAATTCAATGCTTTAGGATTAACTTGATTTTATTACATATAACCTTTGGGAGTCTACCAAACAATAATCAATAATAATTGAAATAATCAGTCTGCCCTCAAAACCCCAGAGTTCAGGGACTGAGGAAGATAGCTTAGTCAATAAAGTATTTGATGCAAGCATTAGGGCCTGAGTTTAGATCCTCAGCACCCATGTAAGAAGTTGGGCCTGGTTGTGAGCACCATAATCCCAGCACTGGAGAGGCTAAGACAGGAGGATCTCTGGCACTCACTGGCTGGCCAGTAGGCCCAGCTGAATCCATAAGCTATGGGTTCAGTGAGAGACTTTGTCTCAAAAATCAAGATGGAGAGTGACTGAAGAAAGCACCTAACATCAACCTCTGATCCCCACATGAATACACACAAATGCACATATCCACATGAATATATATGTGTATGTGTCACACATACTCTCAATGAAGCCAGACTTCACATTTGTTTTAGTACCTGTGTGTATAGTTCCAAAAGATTTGATGGATTTGAACATTCTTTTTCTTCTCCACACAAGAGTTTCAATTTTTCTAGAGCTGCAGAGGCCCGAATTAAAAAGTGATCTGTAAGTAATAAAAACATGACCATTTTACATATATTAAAAGTGCCTTTTAAGAAAGGCTATACAACAGAAATGATGTAATGAAACGATATTATAACATGACAGCAATGTCTTACTTAAATATGAAGTATTTCATATATAAAACCCAATCACAGTGAAGTAAATTTATTCTCCAAAGCAAAGGAGTGAAAGGCTATTTAGATTCACTGTTGCTATTTCTTAAATTCAATCTATATTCTTAAGAGACTTTATCAAGGAACTAAGTGTACATACAGCTCACTTCTTTCTTGAGTGTGTATGGGTAGCATACACGCATATGTATGCATGTTCACACATGTGGGCACACATATGGAGGGCAAAGACTGACATCCAGGTGTCTTCCTCAATCATTTCTCACCTTATATATTGAGGCAAGGTCACTCACTTGAACACGGAGCTTGTGGATCTCTAGTCTAGTTAGCTGACTTGCCTGGGGAGCACTGGAATTGCATGTGGACCACAAGACAGTTCAGCATTTACAACCGTTTATCACGCTTGCATAGCACGTGCTTTACCTACTGAGCCATCTATGTAGCTCTCAGTTTATTCTTGTAAGATTTTTTTACAATAGAGGGAGCTGGGATTGACATGGGAAGCAAGCTCTTTTCTAAAAAAATTTTTTCTTAAAAAAAAAGTTCCCAGACCTATAACAATTTCTCAACAAAAACAAGCCTTTAGATAACCCTAAAGAGATAGCTGTCATTAACTTTGACATTTACATTAAAAATTTATTGTCATAAACAAAAAAAAACAAACAAGGGTCTCTAAAGTATAGTGTGCATATAACAAGAAAGCACAAAACTATTTCATAAATTATTTATTGTGTTGCAGTTATTATGTATGTTTTATAGAATATATGAATTTTAATGTAAAACTATGCATATGGTTTACAATTTATTCATTTTAAATATTTATTTTTATTTAAAAGATTTTTATAATTCGAAATACTTAAAATACTTAAAAATAAATTTACAACTGTGATTAGAATAGTGCAAAATCTACAAATTTGCAGAAAGTTTCCACTGAATGCATGTAATTTCATAAATGTAATTGCAAATGTTCCCTAAAAGAATAATTGACCATATCAAATTTTATAAAAATATCAGACTGTAAACAATTCTACCTTTATTGTATTTCTAGCTTCTGTAACTACAATTACAATTTAAAGGGTTATCTTATTCCTTTAAAACTTTGGTATGGAACAAATTACCTCACTCCTTCAAAACCTACAGAAAACAAACATTCCAATACTTCCTATAAACTGTCTTATCACAATTTCCAACCTTCAACATCTCCACTTTACAACTATATTTTCTTTACTTCTGATTTCAGATTTTGGGGGTTCCAAAGATACTGTCCTCCCTTATACATCACTTCATGTAGTAGAAGTTATATATAAGTGCCACAGTACAAGACACTAACATCTCTAAGTCTCCTCTCTGAAAAACAGAATCTTTCCTAACCTTCTGCCAATGGATAGGAAATGTAGTGGTTGGTGTGGTCTCATCCGATCCACCCTCTGCAGTTACATAAAGAGATAAGCTGTTCAGTGTTAGAATAAAAAAGCCATTGGTATGTCAGCTGGCAGTCACATAATGACCTTTAGTTTTCCCAGGTTTAAAAAACAAACAAAAACTAAACTGTAGCTTTAGAGAATTTATTATTGCTGTGAGGTCACATTCATCTGGCCTGAATGCCATCTAGTTAGCAGTCTTCCCATCTCTCCTTGGCCCCAAAGTACCAACCACACAACTCAGAAAACATGACTCTACTGTGAACCTAAACAGTATGGAGGACCGCACTCCCCACATGCTTTAGAAGCTGTTATTGTTTCCCTCTTAACCCCCAAGATTATTGTAAATGTCAAGACTTGTACTGAACCGAGTTATTACTGAAGAAAGATGTTACAGTTATTACTGCAGGAAGGATGTGGTGCTGGCATAACTATCGTTTTGGGAAAGCCCATAAAAATACATTCTCTTTAGATAGACATATTTAAAGTAAACCGGCTAGGCAAAAGATAAAAGGGCCTCACATAATCCCTGGAAAAATTCCTTCTTATGGTACAATTCCATACAGGACAATATTATACTGTTAACAATGAAAAACAGATGAAAAAGAATGGCCATAAATACAAAGAGCATTCTTAAGTGGAATGAAGATTAGCCTTATGTAGTCTTGTTTGAATAAAACAGAAACTATCAATACTGAAAACTTAATAAAAATATATAACTGTTAGGCTAAAAGACAAACTTCCAATGTGTATTGTTTCTGTTACATGATAAAGGGCCAAGTTCCATTCAAATACATATAATCTTGTTTTAATTAAACCTAAGTAGGCCCTGTTAGTAATTCTCCAGTAATACTAACTTCAATACTCATAAAATGGACAGCTATGGCTGTGATTTTAGTACTATTTCAGACGAATAAAGCCTCTAAATAAGACCATGTAACACCGAACTTTTCTTTCCGGGCTTCTTCTACACAGGATCACAGAATTCTTTCAGAAGAAAATGATTGACTGTTGAGTTCAGTAATAAGTGAATACAAATTATCCGGGCTCTCTGGGCTGACCCAAATAAAGCTAGAATTAAAAGTAACCTGGATACAGACCAGGTAACAGTCACTACTAAACCCGATGTTGCACTTGGCAGCAAACCAAAAGACAGCCTCAGTGTGGTGGGTGGGACACTGAAGAACACTGTCCTAAGAAGAAACAGTCCAGCAACGTTCTTCATTGAAAGTGGGTCATTTACTTGTAGAACCGATTCTGTGAATATATCAACTATTCAATCACTTGGGGAAATGTTTCACTACGGTTTTTCTGTGAGTGTTGTTACAACAGTTTTAAAGCTCGTGTACGGTAAAAGCTCAACATTCAAAAAAGGTACTGTCAAACCAATTGTAACTGAGAAATTACAAAAAACAAACTGATTCTGATGTCAGAAGAACGATGTATTTCCCACCCCACTTTTTGTTTTTCTCCTAAGGAAACAGCTCAGACATTTCTCGGTATACATATGATGGTGGGTGGAGGCACATTTAAACTACACCAGTGCAACTGTGTAAAATACCGTTTATTTACAACTGAATTTTGAGCTCAACAGAAAGGGAGAAATTTACAAGGGAGTAATGAGAAAGCGAACTGTCACGCACGCCTCTCTGCATTTACCGGATGCAAAGAAAGATCGTTCACTTGGGGACAGGATAAGCATTCAGGAAACCTCCAAGTGTACTTTTATTCGGAGTCTACCCTCTTCGCAGATTCGACACTACACATCGGGGCGATGTAAACAAAAGGGATCTCAAGGACTATTAAAAACGCTGCACTGGCAGCATGACTTCGGAACAGAGGGCCGGCGTCTGCCCAATGGGGACCCGCTCAGAAGCGCCTGCCCTCAGAGGGCCAGGACCAAGGGACCCCGCCTCGGATCGCAGGCCGCGCCTTCCGGCCAGCGAGCGCGGCGGCCCCGCGGGGCTCCCCACCGTCCGCCCGCCTCCCTCTGCGGCGCTCCCTCACCGTCTTCCCCCGCGGCTTCGCTAAGGTGCTGTATGTGAGCCTGAGCCAGGTCCCCGAGCTCTTCCACCCGCCTCACCACACCGGACACCGCGGCCGCCATGGCCAGCTCGGGCGCGCCCGCCCGATCCACGTGACCGCGGCGGCCGGGCGATCACCTGATGGCCCCGCGGGCGGAGCGAGGGCGGAGCCCACCCGGCCGGTGGGCGGAGACATAGGCTCCGGGCGACGACCGTCCTGGCCCGCAAAGGTCGTTCCGGGTATTTTGTTCATCCCAGTCCCTCCCACAATCCTGTGCTGCTAGGGGGCCGGTGTGATGTAAGGGCACACCTCCCTCCCGCCTCCTTTTGGTAACCAATCGGAAGCCGAGCATGCCCCAGGCTGAGCCAATGGGACATCGGCTGTCTCCGCGGGCGCGGGAAGAACGCTGCCCCTGCCGCCGGATGGCCGAGGGCCGGTTGGAAGGTCTGGAAAGAGGATTGCAGCTGTTGGCGCTGTGGTGGAGGAGGTTGCCTAAAATAAAACGATTGTAGTCCCGTGGGTAGAAACGGAAGTCTCGGGACGGGTGAAGTTCATCCGAGTTCAGAGACCTGCTACTGGCAATCTGCGAGGTGCTAAGTGGAGTAACGCTTTTCCGAATATTAGCCACACACACACACACACACACACACACACACACACACGCGCGCGCGCGCGCGCTCACTTTTCAAAGTACCACCCTAAGTGTCCTGCGCCCAGAACGTAGTAGTTACAGCACTATCTGTTTTAGTTCACCTTGAGTAACCTCCGTACAAGTGGTGAGTGTCCTTCCGGATTTTAATAGGCACCCACCCAAAAGGTCAAACCACTTTGTGTTCCATGAATGTTAACTTTTGCCTATGGCCACAGACAGTCCAACACTGTGAATAATACTGTCCGTCCCATCTTAGTTTTAAGGTTTATGTACAAAAATAGTACTGTGATCTTTTAAGAGTGGTTAATCACAGTGACTTTCCTCCAACTAGCCTTTGTAACTTCAGTTTCAATTCACTCTAAATGCACAAAACAAAAATAATGTGTTCTGTGTCCTTGGTGCTTGTATACCTGGCACTTAGATACGAATTCAGAAAATGGTTTTTATTTGAAAACAAAATCCTCTAGTCGTTTACTTTCTACTCAAGAACCTGGAAGCCGGGAAAACTGCATCATAGAAGCAAGATGAGAACTGAGAAGGCAAACGTTTATGCTAGAGTGAGTGTTGGTGGACTCCTGTAATCCCAACACTTGAGAGGTAGAGGCCAGAGGGATGCTACCTGATCGAGAGACCCTGTTTACAAACAAACAACCCACAGAAACTAAAGGATCCGCACACTAACATACCAAACCGCACTAAATAAAATCTACAGTCACGAGCTGGAGCCATGATCAGTTTCGAGAACTGGGTTAAATTCCTGGCAACCACACGGCCACTCATAACTATCTAGACCTTTAGCCCCAGGTGATCGGATGTCCTCTTTTGGCCTCTGTGAGCATTGTATGCGGACATACATGCAGGCAAAATACCCATACACATAATATAAAAGTAAAGGGAAAATTATTTACAATCATTATGATGCAGTCAAGCTACAGTAGTCTGAAGCTTAACAATGGGAAAGAAAGAGAGACGCTGTAGAATGAATCTGTGCTTAGCAAAAGCAGCAGGCGGGATCAGTCTCCATGGGCTGACTGACAACTATGCAGAAGCTGTTTTTATTGATGCACAAAGGGCCTTTTAGAAAGTCAATTCCCTGATACCAAAATTCCTTATTTGAACTAAGAGTTGTCTTAAGGAACTATGAGCTAAGCAAACACAGTCATAAGAATTCCAAGTTTGCTTTATGCATATTCAGTCCTCTAGCCTAATTATGATGTCCCAAGTAAGCCTTTGCAACTGAGGACCAGCTTCTAGTATAACTGCCACTAAATCCTTCCAATCTTGTGGAATTATTCTATTCTGAGTAGATCAGTTATTTAAAATCTGTCTTATATAGGGTAAATGCATCCCATATGTCTCTACTTATCACAATCACTCCAGATCTGTCATTTCTGTAGGTCTCCAACTAATCTGAATGTGACCTTGGGAATATTTGTTATTTGCAGGCATTTGCTACATTGGTGACTAGAAACACCTGTGGCCGTGTCCTTATGACCTTAGGCAACAATTCCTCAATTCATTCCTAAGGAGGCTCCATTTGTCCTTGATAGTGATTAATCCTTTCCTCTTTTTTTTTTCTACTGGGAAGAACCTTTTCTCTCTTTCACTTCAGTCTTTGTCTCTGCAGTCAATTTATTTGTATGAAAAGTTTTGCAGTTCTACAGCTAATGATTTTTCTTTTGTCCTTGATAGTGATCAATCCTTTCCTTTATTTTTTTCTACTGGGAAGAAACTTTTCTCTCTTTCACTTCAGTCTTTGTCTCTGCAGTCAATTTATTTGTATGAAAAGTTTTGCAGTTCTACAGCTAATGATTTTTCTTTTTAAAAAATCTGTTTCATCTAAAAGGGGAGTAGATTAGTGTCTTGACCTTCCTCACTTCCATCTTCCTCTGAAGCATCATTTTTATCTCTGAGACAGCATTCTTTGCTGACTGATAATCTAAGATAGAGCTTCTTCCTTCCCTACTGTACCTCTGACCAAGCCTTTTCTGGCTCTTCACTCTGCAGCAGCTCGGAGGCAATGGAAACTAATTTACACAGAGACCAAACCCTGAATGATATAGTTTCTCCTTTTTGATGAGCTCATCTCGCATGTAGCTCTCAGCATTTGTTTCCACACCATCAATTTTAATTGAACATGAGGAATTGCCTGAAACTAACAGCAATAATGCTTAATCAATTCTGTTGTTTGTTTGCTTTGTTTTTCACTTTTACTCCATTTTCTTTTTGGAAGCATTTTAACAGCTATATTTCCACTCCTGAGATGTAGAATTCTCCATGTCCCTGCCAAATCCTGGAGTCTCACTTACCAGTGAGTAATCGCTACCTCCAGTCCTGGAGTATCCTGACCCCTCTTTTCTTCAGTCCACCAACTGGGTACCAAATGTCAGTATTCTGAGTTACATGGACTAGGTGAAGAAAGAGAGACACTGCAAAATGAATTTAGGCTTAACAAAAGCATCAGGGGAATCAATTTCTCCCTCCTGACTGGGGAGGAGCTGTGCAGAAGCTCCTTCTAGCCTTTTAACAAGTCAATTCCCTCATACCAAAATGTCTAGTCTGTCTTAAGGAGCCATTTACCAAGAAAATACAGTCACTCTAGGAATTCCAGGTTTGCCAGAAATGTCTTATGACTGAGGTTATGCTAAGGTTTTGAAATTCCCAAGAAAGAGCAACCCCATAAATCTCAGATAGCAATCACTGATTATTTACAATAGACTATTTCAAGACCTACGTGACCATCACTTCAGAGTAAATTCCAGGTGCAATGCCCTTCTAATATTGTACTACAACCTGTTACATATTTATTGGGTCATGAACTATGATTGGCACTGGAACTATAACAGTAAGTACTTCTGGTTTAATCCTTGTCCTCTTGTAATTAATTATCTAGTAAAGTACTCTAGAGATAATAACAATACACAAATGAACATGCATTTTTAGAATTGTGAAAGTGAGAGACTGAAGAAAGTATTCCTCAGGAAATGGTATAAGTATTAAATGATGATAAAATTGTCCAATGACGAGCAATAAGTGATCAGTTGAAAGCCAATCGAGAGAGAAAACACACTGTGTCGGGCATGGTGATGCACACCTCCAATCCAGACCAAATGATGAGTCAGAATCTTGAGTTGAATAGCAAGAACTTACTGAGAAAAAGGGGATTGGGAAGGAGGTAAGGCCACGTGGTAATTCAAACATGGAATATTCAACATAAGAAATTATAAAGTATAGCAATTAGATTGACTGCAGCCAGTCTTTCTTGATGGACTTTCCTTTGGGACCACCAGTCCCCCCAATAATGACATGAATACTTATTATTATTTATGAAAGCTTGGCCTTTAGCTTAGGCTTGTTCCTAACTGATTCTAATAACTTAAATTAAGCTGCTATTACTAATCTACTTTCTGCCACGTGGCTTTTATCTTTCTCTCATTCCGAACACTTGACTTCCTCCTTGTCTCACTGGCATCTCTCCACCTCTCTTCTTTCCAGAGTTCCTCTCTCTCCCCAGAAGTTATGCCTATTCTCTCCTGCATAGCTGTTGGCCATTCAGCTTTTATTAAACCCACCACAACACATCTTCACACAGTGTAAACAAATATCCTGTAACAAATGGGAGTATATTGTTGAATAAAAATTAAGAAAGCTCTAAAGACTAAAGTTAAAAAGAAATAACTGTACTAGTGGGACAAAGATTCAGATTTCACTGGAGAGCTCATGATGATAGTTCACTGGATGGCAGGGAGTCACTTGTTCACTTCAGCAAAATGTTCTGGAACTCTTTTCTGAAACTTAACTTTGAAGACAAAAAATCCTCTAAGGCAGGGGTTCTCAACCCTCCTAATATTGCGACCCTTTAACACAGTCCCTTAAGTTATGGTGACTCCCCAACCATAAAATTGTTTTGTTGCTACATAATAACTATGTTTTTGCTACTGCTTTGAATCGTAATGTAAATATCTGATATGCAGAGTATCTAACTCGTGGTTCCTGTGAAAAGGTGATTCAATGACCCACAGGTTGAGAACCATTGCTCTAAGGCTTCAGGGAAATCTGTTCACGGAGAAGTATCTCACATCAGGCTCACTAGTATAAAACTTGCTGGGTGACTATGAGACCAAGCTGGTGGCTGAGCTTGATAACAATAGCCTAGATAACTTGTGTTGTCCATGGTAGGAGCCTGGTACCAGCCTGCCATTTATGCTTCAGGAGACTGCCAGGAAAAGGGCACTCAAACCAGGAAAGACCTTTTGCCCCCTGTAATGTCTCCCTAATTCCCTCTAAATCAAAGTTTAATATCTTATCTGCTGACAAAGTAAAAAATTAAAAGGGCACAGATATGCTTGCACAAGGAGGCCAAGAGGCTAAGTTGGAGCTGAGAGGCAGAAATCTGTGATTGGCACGGAATGGAAAATTGTACAAGACGCAGGAGATAACATATGAAAGAGGCCTGGAGTTGGGAAAGAGCTTAGTGCCTTGGAAGAA